TAACTTAACGTGCAAATCCGCCTTTAATGCGTTTATAAAATTGAAAGAATATCGATAACTTCCTTTTTTTAGAATGACGAGCACTTAAAAATAATTACAACCTTGTACATCTATAGAGGGGAGGCTTGGAAATATTTGAATTAACAGGGAAACGAATACTTCTTGCATGCAATGGTATACAAGAAGAGGGAATACATGGATGCAAGAGCAGATTTTAATTTAAACAGGCCATCTAAATTGTTCAATGTTAACAATATAAATTGACAAACAGTGATGCACTATATATGTACGCTGTTAAAAATAATTAGAGGCTACTAAACTAAAATTCCATCCATTTCTTCGAGTAAGAAATCCTCTGATTATTTCAGAACAACAAAATTCAAAGCAAACAACAGTCGATTGAAATTGTCATCTAAATATATGTATTCACATCAGTATCATTGTAACATTCACAGAGAAAAATTTCCTAGCTCGGTGAATTTTCAATTTGTTTCAATTTTACTTTGTAAAATCTATGTCTTCAGGCCGGAGTGACAAAAAAAGAAGTGATATATGCACTTACGATGTTACCAACCTAAAGTCACTGTCGGCTACGATGGAACAATTGTGATCGAGATCTTCGCTATCGTCCCCGGAAGTATGTCCGCTCTGGTTGTCGTGCCGATGAATGACCACCACTTCCTCGTCCTCGGAATCGCCGGCGACACCGTCGCAAGATCTCTCGACCTCCGCGTCGCTATCCTGCGACGAGGTCGGTGAATCGTCTATCATCACATCGTGAACGAGCCTATGTTACAAGAAACAAGAAATATGAAACTCTTAAAAGGGCGATGCTTCTCATCGAGTAACTAACAAAAACGAGGAATTTGAAAATTTACTGCTACTTTGAAGACATCGAACGAAAGCGAAAACATGAAGGGATCTTAAATTAAGGTATTAAGAAACAAAATAGTGTATACACATGTGTATGGAAATTTTATTTGGATCGACGATTTGACATACTCATCTGCATAATATAAATATTCGCGAGACGAAGTATATGTATACTCGTTTTATTTGTCGCGCGTCTGAATATGAAGGGATGATTCCCTTCGGTGGTCAACACTAGATCGAGAGATGAATTAGAATTCGCAGTGAAGAGAATTCTGATCCCACTTGGTCGGATTCACTCAGATTCGCAATAGAGCGTTTCTGAGCATCAATTCGACATAAACCATTGGCCGCCTGGCTATACTTAACAAGGTCCTCGATCGTGGCATTTCACTTTCCCGACTATAGACAAAATATTTCAGGACAAATTCACATTAAAATAACATCTGGAGCCAAGAAACTTTCCCGAAACAATGAAATTCAGATAATTGGATGTTTCGTAAAGTAAATCGCATTGCTCTCCTGTAATTAAAAGGTCTACACTTCCGTTTACCAGAGGATAAATAAGATCTATTCAACGTAACTATCAATTGAGATTTTCGATGGAACTCAATATGTCGTGCTTTGATACATCTTCTGTTAAAGTATTATCCATTTAGAAGGCAAGTGAATCAAAGTTGACACTTGGTAAAACCATCTCGAGGGATGTCTGACGGCTAGAAGAAACACTTGGATACTATCGTCCAACAGATAAATGATGGTATCATTTTAATCTTATGATTATCTAATGTAACATATATACATGTACACGCGGTTAATTTTTCTCAATGATCATACATTTATCCAAAATTTATTACATATTCTTTTGGAAAATACAACGAGTGACTCGTGAATGATTTATTTTCGCTATATGACGAGAACGGGAAGATGTTTCGCCGTCTTAAATTGCCGTTTCTATTTGCGAACCTCGAAACTTGTAACCGGTGAAAGAAATGGGGACAAAAGATTAGATAATTAACGATAAAAAGCTGTAGCGCGACTCCGGTCCATTAATAGCGCATGCTTCGTTCCGTTTTAAAAGCCAAGTAATCGTGACTGACAGCTAAAGTGGAAATTTCACGTACGTGACAGACTCGAATCGATTTTATTTTATTCTTCTTTGTTAACGTTGCATTAAGCATCGTTGGCCGCGCGTAAATAAATAAAATACGCCGGACTTCTAAATTCACGATAATTATTTACGAAGATGTCGGTCGAATTTAGGAGGAATAAAGGAGAATCATTTCCGAATTTGTGTATTTTTAATGCATTAATTTTGTTATTGTCTCGTGATGGATGTAGTTTGCAGTTTATAGACAGAATGATATATCGGTAGACGTATAAATTAATAAAATAATATTCGACAACGCCCGTACGTTGAAAATGTTAAAACAACATTTGCTAAGATAATATTCGATAGAATCATGATACTGGTTTAACAAAGGATAATTGTGCAGCGTATTGATCAATTTCCAAAATGATAATATTTGGCAAGCGTTTTATAAAGACCGCATTCTACCGCATTTAGTTTAATTCACAAAACATCGACCGCGCCTTCATCTTTTCGATACACCTACGCCTTGCCCCTTTAATTTTCTTCTACATGTCTGATTTACTGGGTTAATGCGACCTCAAAGTAATAAAGTTCGCGACGCGAGGTCAACTCAAAATTAATTAACAAAAACGCAATGACATTATTTCGCAATGGATTGAAATCTTGCAAAATCTCTACATACGAGAAAAAGTTTCGATAAGCTAACGATTTCATTGCAAGTTAAACCACAAGACTGCTTTCCTATTCGCCGTAATCACATCTAATTTACAGTTGACATACTACATCATACATGTACCATACACATACGTTCATTCACATCGACTATCGCCAATTATCGTTCATTCTATATTCAGTAAAACTATATTTGCTATTCTTCATTGCGGATCGAGCTTGGAGAGAATACAATCATCTACTGCTGCTATACTATGTCACAGTGTCGATAACCACGCAACCCCATATTCGAGAACGTTTACGTCAAAGATCGTCCCAATTCGCTCGTCGTGCTGAAAATCTCATCTACGATTCAAAATCTGCGTAATCCCAACGAGACGAGAGGGGGGGGGGGAAGAAAGAAAATGAATAAACATCACTCTGGAAATGGGATGTCGACGTGTGCGTTCCACGCCATCCTTTCGTACGAAACGTCAGAAACATCGCACACGTTGTAAAGAAACAGGGCAATTGGGAAAAAGTACGCGTAAAGTGTACTCACGTGTAATTGGAAAGTGGTGCCTTGAGGTGCTGCGGAAGCCTCTCGAAGTAGTGTCGAAATTCCTCGAACTCGGTGTCGGCCATTCTGCGACAGCCAGCAAAGGAAACACAGACGTGGCGTGGGGTCGGTCCTGAAGGCGGCCGTGACGGCCTGGACGAGGAGAGCTGCTCGTCGACCCTTGGAAAACTTCGTTCGGGGCCGAAGATGTCGCTGACGTTGGGGGACGACGTCGGTCGAGCCACCACTCGCGCGACGCCCTATTGATTCCTGCGTGGTGAGCGTCGCGCACACCCCCGCGTGCATTCGATGATCTCCCGTGGACTCGTCACGCCGCCAGGAAATCGAACGAGAGAAGCCAGCCAGCCAACCGTCCGAGCCGAGGCCGAAATCGAGCCTTGGCGATTTAATATTTCAATCGGGCCGAGACCGGATCGCATCGCCGCCGACCTCGAAACGCGCAGAACCGAAAATATCGACACATCACGTACACACGTGATCGGGATCCAGCGGCCAGTTTTTCACTATGAAAATAGAGGGCAAACCTCGTGAAGGTTCCCCTTTGACGAAGAGGAGCGAATGAATCGCGCGGTTTGCTCTCGCGTTAACGAGAAACGTTGAATCGTAGGAGGAACGCGTTTCTTGACGTTCCAGAATTACGGGTCATCGAGAGTCGTTTTATTGAAGATGTAAGAGGTCGAGGTTGATTAATTGCTTTTTTTTTTTTAACACGACGAGAAATTTGCTTCTCTAGAAGTTCGACAACGATAGGAGAACCTCCGTTCTTCGTGTAGATCGGTCTCTCTCTTCTCTTTCTTTTTCTCGCAAGCACAGTCCGAATAGTAGAGGACAATCGAAGTATTATCATATCAGAAGTTATTCTTGACAAAAGTCAATAGCAAACGAGAGAAATGAGACGATGCATTAATGTCATTTCTTAACTTGGATTCCTTATTTGTGAAGTTCAGTCCATTTAAAAATTAAGAAGACCGTTGCCTAGAAATAACCGATCTTTCGATCGAGAAAAGTAGTGGCAAAAATCAAAAGCATGAATTTTATAGCAAACTCTCTACTTATTCCCCAGTACAATACAAATCGTTGCATTTGTGTCGGAAGTATAGTTTAGGATACATAGTATAGACTGAACTGTAATTGGAAAAGTCAGGAAGAGTAATTAACGAATGGTTAATCGAATTAAAGAAGTTGCGAGCGCTTGAAGCTTAGGATAGTTACAGCTTACACACAATTCATCCCGCGACGTTGCGTTTCTTCACGATTTGCTGAATCGAAATCCTCAATGTTCGTTGATTTCGTCATCTAATTATGCAAAGCACGATCCGACTTACAAAGCACCATGACGACTTACATTGGATCCGCGCCAAAATTAAATTGGCTGGGTAAATCTGCCTACAGAGTAACAACGTCGTTTTCAGCCTATTTGACTATAAAGCAGTTCCCTTTTTACCACCATCGAACCTTGATTTTTATTAGTCTCGTTGTGCAACCAACTTCTTTCCCTCGAATCACTCGTGCTGAGAGCACGCTCCAAGAGGATCTTCCTGTCTGCAAACAGCCAACACTCACCGTTTCCTTCTTACTTAGCTCTCTATTTTTCACTAATCGATTAAATCGTTGCAAGTAGTCTCCGAAGAAACTCCCGAACATTCGAGAGTGACTGGTAATTCTTTTCACAAGTTTGGCTTCGATTTTCTAATTTTCGAATTTTTTTTTCAATCCATTCGACTGCAAATGTTAAAACAATATCTGAGGAGGAGGGCAGGAAAACAAATTGAATTCGACAAATTCGAAACTACGTCGTACATCTTTTCGCGATTTAGTGCTTGATCTAAGAAAGTGGTCCAGGGTTAAAGAGACAGTTTTGATGATTTGAACCCTCCGTAAGCAAACTAGGTCGTTGACAACCTAAGCGAAACTTCATCCTTGAATTTCTACTAGAAGAATTTTCACTTTTTTATTGCAAGAAAGGAAAGGTTTCGAACGTTTGATTCAACGAGCGATTATAATTATATGATTAGAATGTAACATAGTTTTTGATATATATTTCACAAGTTTTTTTTTTTCAAGCTCTATATAGTAGAAAGATTAGGCTTGAATGTAAGTGACCCAGTTCTTTCTGAAGGCAGGGTTAAATTTGTATTACATGAATAAAACAAATGAAAATTCGAATTTTCAAACAAATAAATTTCGAAACGTTTAACAAAACATCGAATGAATGTATACTTTCAATATTTCAAGACACAGATATGAAAACTCACATTGTTTCATAAGAGATCAACTTTATTTTTACTTTTCAAGAAAGCATATTTATATATCCTGATAATAGAAAATAAAAAAAGGAAGGGCTATCAATTTGATTCGTGTGGTTAAAAGACAAACTTGAAAGTTGTTGTAATTGTGTCATGGGAAAATCTTTGAAAAGGATTTCGTTCCCTAGACAAGATTCCAAAATTCGTATCTTTCTCTTTTCTCATTCAACGATATCTTGGCTTTAAAGTTATTGGCAATACAATAGAAGCGAATTACGAATGTTGAACTTCAGTTTCAAAGGACGAGAGAGCAAGATAAGAGGCATCACGATATTATAGAATCTCTGTGAATGGAATGAAGTGAATTTCGCAATGCGGGTGAAAAATAGATGAAATACGACAATTAGTTATAGTCAAACTGGTTCTCATCGATTCACACCGCATCGAAAAGAACCGAAGCGCACGATAAGAATGAAAGATAAAATTTTTATCGAGTACAGACAAAGGAAAGAAAGACCTACTTCAGTATAAAACAGAAAGAAGTATTTCTGCTGATATCATAATGTAACAATATTTTTCTTTTTTTAGTTATTATTCCAATCTGTTACGCTGCTATAATTAGCGTTAAACATAAACAAAAGGCAAGTATTTACACTAACATTAAAACATCAATTTTTTTTAATATCACAAATATATATGTACTCGCATTTACTGCTATTCTAGGAAAAAAATTTCTTAAGTAGTCTAATTAGTAAAAAGAATTAATTAAAAAATGACTCGCTTATAATATATAAAAACGACACGAAAGGATACCAAAAATTTATTGATATTTATAAAACAAAAAACTCCACTTACTTTTAATTTTCTCGTATTAACAGAACAACACGCAATCACAATATCTTACAGACTAAACAATGAAACGTATCGAAAATCGATTGTCTCAGTTAGCAAAATATTATATAGTGTGTTCTTTATCTATTAATTAATCTCCGCTGTTTATCAATAATCCCTAGAAAAGAAACACATTCGAAACGATATTTCCAGCAACGATTTACTCACCGGTAGACGCGACGATAAAGATTCTCCCCGCCGATCGAATACTCTCAATTCTCTTAATGCCGGAGAAACGCTCGGTATAATTCAGCAAGGGTGATAACTGATAGTGGTAAGTGATGGACATTGGTAATGTGCTGCATCTGCTTTGCCACAAGGCGAAGAAGTGTTCGCGGACGTTCAAGCTTTTATTAAACACACCCTCTTTGTTCTGCAGAGAAGATATACAAAAGCGAGAACAATTGCCTCCCTCGAAAAAGAAACAGAAAGGAACAAAAGAAAAATTTAATTTTCCGAAGAAGATTACACTTCTCCGGGGATATTTCTCCATTTAGATATATATATAGTTCACATTGTGTGATATTGCTTCACTCAGTATTGAATTTAGTAATCTGTACAATAAATTGCGCAATCTTTTTCAAAATTGGTATCGTAAGTATTGGTACACTTGCTGAATGTTTTTTTTTTTTTGTTATATCATAAATCTGTTATTCCACTTGCATTATTATAATTTCAGTCATGTCTCCTTTGTACATATTGTACGTATTTATCATTTGTTAATATATCATTATTGCAATATATTATATTATATTATTAATATGAAATACTAATGTTCAAGTGTAATGATAAATACCTGTATATCAATCTCGAAATAAAATTTATTGGAATTTTTTCAACTGTGTATGTAATAAGCAGATAAACCTTAATACTTGTTGCCGATATTTTACATTTCTGTGAAGAAAGAAAGTACCTTGGAAAGAAGATCTTTAAAAGAGAAAAATTGCATCGTTTGACGATGCAATTGTTACCAGAACGGTCAAAGTCGAAGAGAATACCACGAGTTACCAAACGAACGCAGAAAAGCATGGAACCGGTGAATCGATGGTGGGATTCGTGCCATTTCCATGGCAGACTAATTTCACTTGGCCCAGAAACCCGAAGAAGAAGGGGCGCGTTGTCGCTTGCTGCGAATCGAAGAGGAGCAGAGATCTTTGGAGAATGGCCTGAAGAAGAAAAAAAAAAAAAAAAAGAAAAGAAAAGAAGGAAGAAGGAAAGAATAACATCCCCGTCTCGAGAAGACCTTGCAATCTGTTCTCGTCGTTCATCGTCGCCAGTTCTTCTGCACCACCCACGTTTCGTGAACTCCAGTGACGTCACAAGGAATACATTCTATTATAGAACCGGTACAGTTACCGTTAAATGGGGTGAGCCCAACACTCCTCTTCAACCCCATGGAAAGTCTTATCCGACCAATGAGGAAACTTCGTACTACTGTGCGTCGACCAATCGCGAACAGATCGTCATTGAGAAGGACGCGTACACGGAGGGGGCCGAGGTCTTAAGAAGAGCGGAAGACAATGGTACCGGGACACTGTTGCTCGCGGTCCTTCAAGGGACGATTCATTGCTAATTCCGTGGAGAAGCTGAGCTTCTGAGGTGTTGTCGAAGTTTGAAACTTATAATATCATCGGACTGGTGCATACGAAACGTCGTTCCTTCGAAGTTTCAATTTTTCCAGTTATTGCAATTTGTCAATCAAGAAGGAGAAATTCGTACACAGATAAGGCCAAGTGTCGTCCGTAAAGTCATCAGACACTTGATGAAATTAATGTGTGATTACGATTCAGAGGCGACTTGACCATTCGCGACCGCAAGAGTCTCAACTCTCTAATCTCAACTTCATTGCTTTTTCTAAATCCTTTAAACAATCTGTACAGATCCTTGAAGTGTGTTTTGGAACATTAGCCCGCATAAACGTGAAGTTTTGTCCTGCTAATCGGTCTGCATAGAATACCTGATTGCAGAATCATATTGTTCAACTATTGTCCTTTTTTTGAAACTTCTTCAGTTTTCGCTAGGTGATTTTCATGTCACAACACAATCAGAGATGCGATTTCTGACTACGAATGAGAAATCAAGAATTTCGAAGTTAATAAATAATTTTTCGAAGTTAATAAATAATTCGAAACTTGTTAGTGATAGTTAGTTTGAAGAGTCTAAATTATCAATGTTATATTTGAGAAACGACATTTCATATGAACCAGTCTAGTAGAAATATTTAAATAATCGTCTATCGTTCGGTTCTTGATATAACTCTCCTAATAAACTAATATTGCTGTCAATACTTTCCTTTATAAATATCTGCAAAAGCGTTGAAATTTTATTACTTTAGAAATGTTTCTCATCGTGTTCAATGCATAATTATACTCTTTTCAACACATTTTTATATAAATGTAAACAATATTAGTTTACCAGGAGATAAAACCTTACTTAAATATGCAGAGTGCTAAAAGTTGATCTTCTCGAAAGAACGAAAGACGAGAAGAATTTTATTCTTTTAATGTTATTCTCTCATAGAATCACCTCGTACTCGGTCGTACCATCAGTTACGAATCACCCTGTGTTTCATCGAAATATATATATACGCAAGATATTCGATTGAAAAATTATAAAGTCCTTTTGGTTTAAAACGGCGATCATTATGAGTGGTTCCGGAAAAGGCCTCCTTGGGGTGTGGCTGTACAGAAGAGGTGAACACTGGGCCATTAAAGAAGGAAGCCCCATACACAAGCCGAGCGATGTGCGTTGCTTTTGGAATTGTTGTTGCAAAATATCTTCTTTCTTTTTTTCAACCCGTTCTTCTTTCCTTTTCGTCAAGTTCTTTCAAGCTGGCGCGAACCTTTTAACAGGCTTCTTTGATATTATACGTATACAAGTATATTTCGTAAGATCATTATTGATTGAAAGGGAAAAAGATTGAATTGGAAGTAAATTGAAGTAGGAAAAAATATAGTTTGAGCGTGTTGTAAAAGCCTGACGTATCGCATGAATATGTTCTCTCGTTCGTTCAGATCCCCATGGTCGAGCGCAAATCGAGCAACGATAATAAAAACTCCGTCGTCTTCTCTTTGAAAAACCAAGTCGGTGGCTTGGCACGGGCACTACAAGTTTTTCAGGTACGATGTTTAACAATATAAAATGTATCATCGGGAAGAAGATATAATTTCAAACATTCAAACATAATTTGGATAGTTATTTTTCATAGAAGTGTGACAGAAGCACGTATTTCTTTTTTCTTTTTTTTTTTTTTTTTTTTTTT